CTCCAGATAACCATAACAACATCACGAACAAAGATTGAAGTTTTCGCCAGCTTTCGGTTTATTTCTTCCAACAACCCATCCGTGAAAACCAATGCAAGTCGACTTATGCCGGAAAACTGCTCATACGTAACATATAATGATAAAAGACACTGACTGAAATAATAGTTAGCTATAGCACCGAACAAACAAATAAAACATATTGTAATAGGCTCTCCTAATCATGGGCGGTGAACCTTTTAGGGATGCAAAGAACTAAATACATAGAAGTAGCGCATTAAAACAAGCGAAAACACGTGTGAATATTTAAATTATTACAACCAAATTTATTACTAAGTTACAGATAAATAACATGCTCAGCTGTTCTAAGGCTCTGAAGTAGCAAACACAGTTTATATGGAAAGCTTGACCCTTTCATCGTTTTCAAGATCACCATTGGCTCTCGATGATCATGTATGTTTTTCTTCACTAAGGCATGTTTTGCTTTCCATAAGAATCCGTCTACAGATGATTTGAAAAATTTTTTTCGAAATAAATGAAAAGAACAGAGTTAATAAAGACTCCGGCTTCGTACTAGTCTGCTGTGGGTACCTCAAATTGTCGACAAATTCCTTAAACTATAATCTATTGTTAATTGTTTTTCAGTTTTGATCACAGAGTCAAAGAACCCCTGGTCAAGTATTACCTTCGAGCGTTCTTTTGTTAATCGTTGGTTTAATATTCTCGGATGCAAACGAGAAAAGCGCATTTCATCTCCATCTTTTGCAGTTTTAAAGCCTTTTTTTCCTTCAGGATCAAAACAAACCAAACATCACATAACCATAACAACACCACGAGCGAAGATTGAAGTTGTTCGCCGCTTTTCCGGCTGCCTTCGTCCTTCCGTCATCCTTCCGACAACACACGATTACTTTCCACAATTCACCCATCCGTAAAAACCAAAACAAGTCGATATTACTCACATGCGACGTCACTAACTCGAAACTCATCATCAGATACGGAAAATAACAAAGTAGTTCAACATATTGTGGTTACCTTTCTCATTCATGAGCAGTGACCCTTACTCGGCCTACATGAATGAATGCAAATTTAACGAATGTAGAAGTCACACACCAGGACAAAACAAAACACGTGTAAACGGCTCAAAACACAGGAATACGGTACAAACAGGGATACAGGGAAAAAAAGGTACACTGGATCTCAATTAAGTGTACTTTTTTAGTTCCTTTGAGGGCCAAAACAAACCAAACTACAGAGATATCTATAACCACATCACGAACAAAGATCGAAGTTTCTCGGCATTGCTCGGACTTAACCGAGTGGCTTCCGAACAACACACGAGAACTTGCACAGCCAATTTACCCATTCGTTAACACTTGTCGAAGCTACTAAGAAACTTTTTTCATTAAAAACAAATAACTAAGCAAATTAGTTCATGCATATTACGCCTGATTTTCTGTGTGGATGAGATTATAATTGGAAAAGTACAAAGTGCAAGTGCACCATCAACATACTCTGTGTCGTCAATCTACCCAACTATATCGAGGTAAACTGACCGTCAGGGATTCTATTTTCGCTACCATTTTCATCCCACGCATCTTCTATTTACAAAAGACGAGCGGAAAAAAAAACCTGGGACAATTTACTCCCCCGTTATGCCCAGAACTTTCAACTTTAAAATAGATGATGCCTTTATGACGTTCCACACATACTCAATTGTAACTTTTCTGATTTTTTTTTCCGGTATTATGTCTATGCAGTTCGTCATGGTACGACATGCGTGAACGCGATGCAAACATATCCTTCTAGCACAATGTGTAGGTGAGAGGTGACGATTTTCTGTGACAACCATAACCTAATGAAGTCAGTTTTCACCTTAGGGCTCAACACAGACTGAGCTAGCACTATCTATTTTTGTAATTTATATCAATGAATTTTCCGCAAGGACTTAAATACTACAGACTGAAAGTACCGTCATCAAAAAAATCAATATGTTATGTCTTCATTTAATGAGTATCTACTTAGCCTGAAGGAAAACGTCTCTAATTCTATGGTAACAACCTTAACCCCTAGCCAGTTACATCTCACACGAGCCTTGTATTTTTCGAGAATAAGTAAAAAATAGGCTTGTATAGAAATGTTGATTGTAAAAGACAAACAACATTTAAAAATAACTTTATTAACTTAAACTCTAAGACACACACAACTGAGATAGTCCACTGTGGGCAGTTTTCAAGATTTCAGACACTACAAACTGTGAGCACCGTGATTAAAATGAACATGAGTTTCTCTCTTGGCGGCACGAGATATGACTGTTTACTGTGACATTTTCACTCTACAGTCTGGCAATAGCTGATGGGTGTAGAACCGTCTAAATGTTATTACATAAGTTCTGTAAAAGGGCTATTATGTGCTTTTCAGACGATGATCTGTGGCTCAGATGGTATTTTAAACACAGCTTTAGAACTGAACGAGAAAAGGATTTGAAGTGGGAACTTGTCAAAGCCTTGAGTATCCATTTAGCTTTAGGGAGAACGTTTTTTCACTCTCTATAGTATTAGGTACAGCCCACGTAAGCTCAGTGTTTTTTCGAGAATATATCAGAAATAGGATTGAATTGAAATATTGATTGTAAACAACAAACAAAATTAAAAATGATTCTCTAAACTTAAATCTCCACTATACACACAATCGAGATAATCTACTGTGCGCGGTTTTCAAGATTTTCTAACAATCACACCACAATACCACAAACTGTAAGCACTGTTGGAAAATAAAATAAATGTTATGTCTTCTTTTCTTGAGTACCTATTTTGCTTGAGGGAAAGCGTTCTTTAACCTCTCTAGAACCAGTAATAGCCTACGCAAGCCCAGTATTTTTCGAGAAAAAGTCAAAAATAGGATGGAATCAAAAGGTTGATTGTAAACAACGTTTAAAAATATACATACAAATGAGATAGCCTTAAGTCAGTAGTCAAGCGAATAAATAACGTCAACCGAACATCTTCGCTCGACACCAGGGCTCAACACTTTGTTGTCATTTCTGTTGGAGTAGCCACACGTGCGAACGCGTGCTTTAAAAAAGCGCGCGGCGAGTAACCTCGCGAGACACTAGCTAGCCATCACGCAACGATATCGGAACCCAGCCAATTCTAATTGGAAGCAGCTTATCTACTAAGGTCAAATTGAGGGGGAGGATTTAACAGATTTAAAGCCTTATTCGCTGCATGCCAAAGCAAGGAATTCATTTATCTAGAACTCATACATTTACGACTTTGCACTTTGATAAAATTTTTTTCCTGCTATAAGAATTATCGAAATATTGGGCAAAATTATTTTTCTTCCATTTTATCATGACCCCGATAAACACGCTCTCTTTACCTTCTCGTTTTGGGCTTTTCTTAGTCTAGGGGAGGACAAAAAAATTGGTTAAGTAAATTAGAAAAAAATTCATCAATTCCGGGCCGCAATGTAAAAATAACAACGTGACCCATTGCACAACACTACTTCGTTCGATTTCCGTTTCTAATAATATTTGCACCGTTGCATATTTAGACAACAGACTTAATTCTCTAAGCCGCTGAAATCGATCTCGAAATAGGACGATTTTCACCACATGTGACGTCACCATTAGCAAGATCACAGGAGGAATTACGTAATATTCGAACTACAATACGCAATTGAAAAATTTCAATGATGTGCGCTAGGTTGGTGGCAAAATTCTCCAAATATTTGGTATGCGCTCTTTTTTAAAAGGAAAAAAGATTTACACTTCTGTAGAGAGTTTAGTCCACACTTAGATTTCTAATTGAAGAGTCACTTTTGCTGTAAACAATGGAAGATTTGAGAAATGTCACGCCAAAAACCAAAGTTGAACGTCGTAACATCCACGGGATTTTTAAAAAAAAGTGGCAATCACAAATGTCAAAAGATGATCTTCGACCCTTGGGGAGATTCGATTGCACGTTCTCTCAGAAAAAAATATTGAACACTTTAGTAGAGAGTGTGGTCCATACTACAGCTTTTATGTGATATGCACGAGGATGGTGGCAAAATTATCCACATAATTGGTTTGCGTACTCTTTAAGAAGAAAAACAAAATGTACTCTTCAGGAGAGAGTTTAGTCCACACTACAATTTTTAACAGAAGGGTCACGAATGCAGTATATTATGAAACGGTTTGGCAATTGTCATGCCAACGACCGGAACTAAGTGCTGTAACATCCGCGGGATTTTTAAAGATAAATTGGCAGTTTAAAGTGTCGAACATAATCTTCGACCCTTGAGGGGAGATCAATTCCGCATTTAAAGTAATTCCATGTTAAATTAAATAATAAATAATTGTTAGCATTAGTATTTAAGGTTAGGCCCAGGTTGCAGTCTTTCAGCTGCTGAAAGACGTTACCGGAACACTGTTTCTCTGGGGGACGAATTCATCATTAGGAAGAAAACCATTGCAATGAGAGGGAAGAGACCAAAACTTGAGAACAAGGGCGAAATGATGTGATAAACTTTGGCTAAAGGGGAGGGAGCGATGAAATGAAAATCTCGGTACGTGGGTGGAACAATACTTTAAAGAAATCTGGATGGGATATTCCCTCATTTATAGCTTCCCTCACCCTTTAAATCCAACATGTAAAAATCAAACAGCAACTTCCTCTTACAATTTCAATCCAATTTTCAAATCCACAAAATCGGTAATGATAATAGAAAAAAAAACAAAACAGTTAGTGTGTTATCTTGATTAAACACCAAATTCTCTTAATAAACTGGCAAGCCAATGTGTAGCAGCAAGAAGGGAGATTTTACGTGTGAAAGGGTCATCAAGATTTTTCCTTGCCTTACCCTTCCCCACACAGCAATGTTACAATACCACTGTTACTACCCACCCTACATCACATAGCAATATATTGTAATACCACTGATACAGTCCCTGACCTGGTGCTTGTGAACCATTCCTCACCTTACCCTACCCCACATAGCAATACGTTACAATGCTACTGTTAGTACCCCTGACCTGGTGCTTGTGAGCCACCATCCTCTAATCTCCTCTGATGAGCTTCAAACAATGTCAAATAATCTGGATCATCTTGTTTCTGAGTCTTGATTATTCCATGATGCTGACGCACATCTTCAAGTGATGCCTCAGATCCTCCATCTGAAAATTCTAAAGAATGCATTTTGATGTCATTCAAGGAATGTTTAATTTTATTCACTCACTTACTAGCCACAACACCTTTTGAAAACTCACTTATCAAGCTACAAACATGCAGTATTTTTTTTGAGAGAAAACAGTGCATAAACTATAGGTATTTGAGAGACATATCTTTTCCTTTGCTTTAATTTGTATATTCTCCATACTGATCTCTATATGTTTCCTCAGATGCTGACAAGGAGAATTTATTTAAAGATCAAAAGCTGTTTCAGTTGGTGATCATCTCCCTTATTCTTATGACCTCAATGTGTGATTCAGTGGGGATTTTGAAAGGAGAAATTAGATACACATCACATGCTCATATAAAACTTTGTGAACCCTTTAACTCCCAAGACCTAAAAATCAATTTTCTGCACAAAATCATACAATGCACACTGGTTGCTTTTTTTCTCTTCCTATCATCAACCTTTTGCTTGGAAATGCACTGTTATTGTATGGAGATAGTCTGTTTTGGTTGTTCTTAAGAGTGAAAGGTCTTAGTAGACCCCATACACAAACCACTCTAATAAAAGCTATAACAAAATTCTTTAAGTGATTGGTTATCACCAGCCTGATTTTAGCACAAATTGGACAGTGTAAGTGTCATACTTGTAATTGGACAGTGTAATAGGACAGTTAAAGGCCCAGTTAACATATCATGCCTGTGTAAGTGGACAGAATGTGTCATGTATGTGTGCTGTTTTCAGTAACCACATTATATTATATTAACTATGGTTTTGTTAAATTTTTAAAAAAATTTTTAGAAATAAAAAATAATGAGCAGCATACAGCAACAGATCTGGTCAACTTAGTTTAATATTTGACCAGTTTCATCTGATCACACAGACTTCATCAGGAATTTAACAAGATTAACAAAATTTAACTACTAATATAATGGATGCTTACAGTACAAATCATGTTCAAATTGGGTGTGAGCAGCAAAAAACATCTTCAAGCAGGAAATTTTAAGCAAATCCAGCATAACCACAAATAAACATTATTTAACTTGTTACACTAGATTTGCATAACATTTCTGATTTTTTACACTAGATTTGCGTAACATTTCCTGTTTGAGGGTGTTTTTTGCTGTTCACACCCCAATTTGAATGTGATTTGTACTATAAATGCCCGATGTCTAGTTTCTGTCTCAAATTTTGTCATAGTTTTGATTAACTGGTAACAGGACTTCATGTCTTCCAATTCTGTCTGTAATCATATTTGTGATTAACAAATCAAACTCCTGCTTCATTATCATCCAATTTTGTTAATCACTCGTACAATTACAGACCAAATTGGACTCCACTTGGTGCTATTACCATTATTAACTCACCAGTATCTTCTCCTTCTTCATCCTGCTCTGGATTCTCTGACTCTTCATCAGAGGGCTTTGTATTCCTAGTGCCAGATCCCTGACAGAGTGAGCTAGCTCTAGAAGTCTTGTTGTCCTCCACTAAAAATATGTAGCGATCTCCATCCTGAACCAGGCATGTGGATTTTTGTGCTGCTGATGCATGACTGCTGCTGAGAACTATTGGCACTAGAGATTCAAATAGATTTTCTAGCTTTAATGCTTGATCTAAATCATATACTGATGTTGTGAAAACAGAAGCTGAGTGGCCAACTTTTTGAACTCTGCAAAGAGCAGTCAGACCAATATAACCACAAGTAGCTGACAAAACAAACCCCTGTATTATCATTTCAAACACATTTTGCAAGTTTAACAACACCACTATAATTCTGTTATGCAAATAACTAGGGAGCAAGGCTCAAACCTTTGTCAAATGATAGAAACAGATCTCTAATGTTGGTAGCTGGAGGCCTAGAGCTGTTTTTTCCATCATCCGGTGGATTAATGCCTGGATGTTGTGAGCAGGTGTTAGTTTGTTGACCTAAAAAAAGATTGGATGAGCACTGAAGCATGTTACAAAATATTTGTGAATGACATTTTTAAAAATACCTTGAGTAAGTTTCTTTTTTCTTTTTTTTTTTTTTGTATTTTATTAATTTTTATTAATTCAAAGTTACATACATTTTTGATAAACAAACATAATTCACATAAACAGACAGACACGGTACATCATATATCTACATACACAACCCACAGTTCCTCTTAGCTCTCCTCAGCTTCTAAATATAATACTAGTACAGCGCAGCAACAAACATGAGATTCTATATCATCTAATAATTTTTGTACTTGTCCCATTTCATATTATGAGCTTTTAGCTTATTATTTGATTTTGCGATCATAGTCTCGAGTTGGTGGATCGTTTTAATTTTGAGGTTTAATACTTTAATTGAAGGAAGAGATTTGTTCTGTCGGCAAGAATATAAATACTGTTTGGCAATTATTAAAATATGATTGATTAATAATTTGTCTTCGCACCTTAAAATACCAAACATTATATCTTTTACAGAGAGGTGTTTTATCTTTACGCCTTGATTATCGAACCACTTTATTACCTCAGCCCAGAAATCCTTAGTATAACGACAAGAAATAAAAAAATGCTCCAAGGATTCGTTCATTTCGCCACAGAAGGAACACGCCGGGGATGGAATAATACCAATTTTGTTTAAAAAAGAATTTGTGATAAGACACCTGTTAAGTAGTTTATACTGGAATTCACGCGATTTTGTGTCCAAGGAAGTACGAAATGGCAAGCTGTAAATCTCTTTCCATTCTAAAACATCATTAACAAAATGAGTCTTAAAATTCAGTTGGGCAGTCGGTGGAGTGATGATTCTATTTCGAAGTTCTTTATATATAGTCTTTGAAATGACTGTTTTTGTCATTAAAACTTAATTTAATTTCGTTATACAAATTGAAAGGCTCGTCAGCTGTAGAAGCAAGCGTGTTTAATGATTCACGCCATTCAACTGGTAAGGCGTCTATTACAGAAATAAGTCTAAATATATCTAACGGCGAGGTGTTTAATTCTCTCAACTTGTAATTACTTTTAACAATAAATTCGTTATTTTCCGAGATTAGATCCCCTATTCGAAGAATTCCTTTTTCTGCGAGATTTTTAAAATACACAGATTTGCCACCAATACAAATAAATTTATTATTCCACACAATAGCTTTTGAAAGATCTTGTCTATTTTGATCCTGTATACTTGTGTGAGTTGCTGCGGAACATTTTGCGAAACTTTTAAAGCATTCTTCATAAAATGCTGGAAGCTTTATGGGCAATTTCTTCAAATCAAAATCGCAACATAAAATAAGTTTACCCCCCACAGGTTCAAGATAATGCAGTACAATTTTTTTCCAATTGCTCGGTTGATCGCTTGCCAACTTTTTGCAACAGAGTATTCTCTGAGTCTCTATTATAGAATCTAAATGTGGGGCTTTAAGTCCCCCATCTTCAATGTCACCAATAAGAGCAGAGTAAGTAACTCACCACAGAGATTAGCATCAAAAGCAGAAGGCTTTTTATAAAGGTTTTGTAAAAATTGTCTGAATGCTGATTTGATGGTACTCCTTGAATCGCCATTTGACACTCAAAAGAGTGCGATTTTTACTGACTTAATTCTAAACCAAGGTGTACAATATTCCCTCTTCACAAACTAGATAGCTGATATCAAAATTTGGTATTACTTCAAATAACCATAACTGATAAACCCCTTACACCCTAAGAGTGACCAGCATCTACTTTCTCCTTACAGCAATGCTGCTGAATCATTCATTGAGATCATGAGAATTAAGGGTTTAATCGCCAACCTAGGAAGTTTTGATTTTTAAACAAATTCACATGTTGGTACTAAAGGGAATGTATAGAGAAGAGTATGGAGAATATGGATATTGATGTTAGGATATAAAGGGTTGAAAGGAAATGAATGGTGGGTAGAAAGAAAATTACATATTACATCTTAAGGTTCAACTTGACAAAAACTGTATATCCATCACTTTTCTTGTTTATCCTATGCAATGGACCATACCAGAGTGAAAATCCATTTCATACATTTATTAAAAAATACCTTCTTTCGCCTTTGTTTCTGAAGGGTTAGAAAGTGAAGGACTCTTCTCTCTTGCGCCAACTTCTGTAGAAGCTGAGCTCACAGAGCATCTTGTACCAGTAGTTTTGTGAGGCATCAAAACCAAACTTGCTACGCCTTGCATTCATGCAACCTTAAACAAAACAATTCTGTTGATGAGTTATTAAAAGTGGGTGTGATATGCGAGCTTAATTATACATAAAGAAACTAACATACTCACCCTTAGAAATGAGAAACTTATTTTTTTTACGATTTAGGTTTATCTTTAGTGCCGACATAGCGAGTTTCATGTGAAGGAAAAATGGTAAAATTGTAGAGGTATTATTTTAACAACAAATATATATGAAAAAAAAATCATTCCGGTGCGAAGAGTTTGCATCCCTAAATTAAGAAAGATCATTTGAAAATCGAGCCAGCTAGGACTTAAGACCCAGCTAAACGATCAAACATGCTCTTTCCACAGGATGTTGTATTAAATCACTTTCTCAGTTTTAAATAAGCTTACGAAGCTTTTATACGCAATGAGTTCTAAAGGGAAAATACTTGTAAGATTATTTTACTTAATGTAGAGGCAAAGTAAAGCGTAAATAATACAGAATCTCATAAACCTTCTTTAAGGATGTTTCTATGGTAATCTGAACATTGCTATGACAATATAACTGACTTTTACAGATAGAAGAGCAAACTTGCTGCATAAGTAATTGATAATACTGTGAAATGGTGGAGCATCACTTTTTCGGGAAACTTTCCTTTTACGGTGTCTTAGATGATGTTAGAACATTAACCATACCTTTCCAGATGACTTTTGATCAGTAAAATAAAGAAGAAAACGAATTTTAACCGTTTCTCTAGGCTTACTGTAAGTGTTGCGAAGCCTGACAAATTCAAAATAGCGAACACGAGCGAGTAAGTCTTTGTCCCAGGGTCTGCTCGGACAGGCGACTTCACTTCTGTTGTGCCTAAATCCTACCGGCTACCGGCTCGAGGTACGCCCGAGAAGCACTAGTGACGAGTTTTCAAATCGGGGTGATTATCGGAAATTGTCGGAAATTGCAATATGGCGGACTATTCCAGTAACACCATTCGCGATTTACCCACAGTCAAGCGACGTAGTTGAACCAGACATGAACATTATAAACATGCTTTACATGTGAAGAATACATTGTTGAGTTTAAATGAAGGAAAATTTTGCTACATTTTGTGGGTCTGTTTCTTTCACCCTCGTCGATCTTGTTCAGCAGAGTTTTAGCTCAACACTGTAGAGTCAATTAAATATGCGAGTTGTACTTCAAGTATTTTCTAAGCCTCCTAAGATACTACTAGCCAGAGGTTATAGACTAAATAAAAGAGAACAAAATGTAAATTTATTCATGAAAAAAGTGATTCCAAGGAGTGCAATACTAATTTAGAGTGCAGAAAAGTAAACTGAGCAAACCGCAATAAAAATTGGGCAAAGTTGACTAAATATGCAAGCTGTACCTCTAGCTGGTAGTCTTTCCTAAGCTTCCTAAGCTGTGATCCTACCAACTGGAGGTAAAAGGCCAAATACAAAAACTAAAATTTAAATGTATTCTTTAAAAAAGAATTGATTCCAAGGAGTGTGAGATTACAACTTGGAGTGCAGAAAAGTAAAATGTGGAGCAAACCTTGATAGAAATTATGCAAAGTCAACTAAGTATGCAAGCTGTACCTCTAGCCGGTAGTATTTTAAAAGTCCCTTCAGATCCTACCAGCTAGAGGTACAAGACCAAATAAAAACAAATAAATATATATACGTATTCTTGAAAAAAGTGATTAAAGGATCCTCGGACTAATTTGGAGTGCAGAAAAAGTAAAATGTGAAGCAAACCGTGGTAACAATTGACCAAAGTTGACTAAATATGCAAGCTGTACCTCTAACCTGAGCCCCCTGAGATCCTACCTGCTAAAGGTACAAGGCAATAGAAATTTCATCAAGGGGGATCTTTCTAACCAGTAGCACTATGACAAGGGCATTATCATGAGTGGTGATACTATTCATAAGTTTTTTTTACCTTTGCAAATGTAGGTCTTAGCGGCTACAGCGTTAAGCTAAGACTGCTGAACAAGAAACTTAAGATTGATAAGGGTGAAGGAAACAGCCACTCAAAATGTAGCGAAATTTCCTTGATTTAAACTCAACAATGTATTCTTCACATGTAAAGCATGATAGAATGTTGATGTCAGGTTCAATCACGTCGCTTGACTGTTGGTACGTCGCAAATGGTGTTACTTGTTCGCCATATTGCAATAACCGACAAGTTCCGATAATCACACGACTCTGAAACTCTCACTAGTGCTCCTCGGGCGTACCTCTAGCCGGAAGGATTTAGGCACAACCCCTCTGTTGCGCCGCCATCTTGAACTGGAATTTTCGCGTGCAGGCAGACGATTTTAATAAGCTGCACTGGGTAAGTTACCATCAGAAACAATATTAAAGGCGTTCCTGAACGCAAGATTGTCCCGTAAAGAATGCGCTGATATTCTTGAACAATCCGCAAAACTTTCCGAGACTATAAAAATTGAACCTCAACGAAATTTCGGCGGTAATTAGAATCATAATAAGCAATCCTACCCCATACATCCATTCCTCGACGCGTTTGAAATTCACTTGGCCTGCTTGGTTGTGACTGGCAGTGTTTCAAGAGCGGCGAGTGCTTGCGCTTTCGTTCAGGCGGTGGGGTAGTCAGTCCGTGTTCCAAAAATGCGCGTAATGATCCGTTATTTAGATTTATATGCGAGCTAAAGTAGCCCCGCGTCGCCATGAGCATTGGAATCCTGGCTTGGGTTGAATTCTCAGGTATCAATATATGTTGCAGTATAGGGGCGTATTTTGTCTGACCTTCTGCTTTGTCACGTCGGCCTATCTTCAATGATCTAGAAAGCCTTAACCCTTTAATTCCCTGAAGTGATAAACATGTAACTCCTCCCTATAAAATCAATACATTATCCAGCAAACAGGTAGTGAGAATAAACAAACTTATCAGTCAGAAGTTGTTCTCTTAATCTAACACCAAATTCTTGCGATTAATTTATAAGGAAATGAACAGCAGTTCGAGGGAAGAAGCTACTATTCGATCTCGGGAGTTACAGGGTTAAGGAAATACGCTACCGCTCGTGTAAGTGGCCGTTGAATTTGCCGCCTTATTCTCTTCAACGGTTGACGTTCAAACTGGCCGATATAAATCAAGTAAGTCTGATCTTACAAGATTTTGTTTCGTCCGGCGATGTAACTCGGGATTTCGGGCGTCATGACTTTTGCGCGACTTGACGGGTTACCATCTTCAACATGTCAACTATAAAGACTTAACCAAGGATTTTGGGTAAGAGAATGACGAGGGTATGACCCAGAGAGCCTTTACGTCCCTAATTTGAGTTGGCACATCAATAAGCAGTACAGAACCGTGTTGTCGCGTGCATGTTTCTCTCCTCTCGCGTCTTTCTTTACCGAAGAGCTTACAGTGAAAAAATAACGTATCAGCTTATTGTGATTCACTAAAAAAGGGTGTCCAAAGTAAGTGCAAAATAAAACGTGTAACCAGATAAGAGGAGGCCTCGCCGCCACTCCTGAGGTAGATTCTCTCACGTGTTGTCTCCTCGGAACTTTATTTTAGTTTCAACTAAACTTCACATGCAACGGGCTTACTAGCCTTTCATGAGACGGTGGCCAATTTACGTTTTCAACTCATTTCGTAAAAAAAGCTGTGGTCATTCATCGTGGTGAATAACAATAAAAGCTAAGTTTTTCGTTTGTCTCACGATGTAGTCACGTGTGATATAGATCGCGACGTTTCGACTGCATACTGCTAGTCTTCTTCAGGCGATGAGGTCGACTGGTCATGCGTGATGCTCAGATATCGATATTTCGAGCTGTTTTCAACTCAGTTGTTAACACTAAATTGCTTTCATGAGACAGACTTGGGAGATTTCACTAACTATTTGGTCATTGTTTTTATGTTGTGGTGGCTCCTGAAGGAGCCGTTTGTTGAGTGAGCAATGAAATCCGCTTATTGCTTCCCGAAACGCCACAACAGCTGAGCTCTGGAAACGCAGATGTCTTGAAATCTCAAGCGATTTCTCCCACAGATCACTGGAAGGGCAGCTCGCGGATCGACAGCCCGGTGGATTTCTGGTATCGGCGGATCTCTTGAAGAGCGACTGTTACCAGGCCTGTAATGATAAAGTTTCTTGACTCCACCTGTTGCAGGAGCACTCTTACGAGCTGCCTTTGTGGCGAGCTGTTAACGTTGTGCATTCCCACCGGTTTATTTAAACGAAGTCTGCTTTATATGCGCCGTTTGCCAAACATACGATTTGTTATTCAGTGACCCCCACGCTGAATATATTTGCAAATTGGCGGGCTTCAAAGTGATTGGTGGAAAAAGAAGCTATTTGATTGGCTAGACAAATGTAGTTTTGGAGCAGATATCGATATTTCGATCGAATAAATTGAGACACAAAGAAGGCCTGAAAATCGTCCTAATTTCAGATCTAACAATACAAAACGAACCATTTCTAATTCATTGTGTAGTGCCGTTAGGATCTTTATCATTTTCTTCGTTTGTGGGCGATTTATACATCAGGATTCTAACCTGACGGAGCATGACGTCTTTCATTTTCCTCAACCAAGACGAACAAACACATGACAAAAGGACAATGAAATATTGATCAAGTTTCCTTTTATTCTGATTTGACGATTGGTTGTTTCTCAACGTTTCCTGAGAGGTCGTTTCCTTGGCTATAAAAAGCGTAATGTACTATAATGTGGCTATAGTCACTGAATGATTTGGCACTCAACTTAGCTCTATAATGTCTGGGCGCGGTAAAGGAGGCAAAGGTCTCGGAAAAGGAGGTGCAAAGCGTCACCGAAAGATCCTTCGTGACAACATTCAAGGTATCACTAAACCAGCTATTCGTCGTCTTGCTCGTCGTGGCGGTGTTAAGCGAATCTCTGGCCTGATCTACGAGGAGACTCGTGGCGTTCTTAAAGTTTTCCTTGAGAACGTGATCCGTGATGCAGTGACATATACCGAGCACGCTAAGAGAAAGACTGTGACAGCCATGGATGTGGTGTACGCTCTGAAGAGACAAGGCCGCACTCTCTACGGATTTGGTGGTTAAATGACTCAGTCTACTAAAATAGAACTAATGGCTCCTTTAGGAGCCACCAAATCTTACAAAAGTCGTGACCAATAAAGGTTGATTGATATTGACGGTTGAATGTTTATACCTGACGCGCCGCAAACAGCAAATCGATAGTAGATGCGGTCATTTTCAGTGTCAACGACTGCTGCTCGATCGTATAGTGGTATATTATGAAATTTAGTGCCATCACTAAGAATAATTAGCCGTTCATTCCACTACGAATAACGTGAGACACAGGTAAGCTTCTGAGTAACCCCCTTTTTCGGTCGAGTAGAATCAAGGAAGAGCGGACGGTTTTTTAAAGCAAGAGATAAGGAAATCATCTTACAACCCTCAATGCTATTCAGACGAAACTTACAAGCGGGTGCATCAAGTAGCACGAATGCTCACGCTACGCAAGTTTTGCGGTGAATCCTATAAATATTACTCTGCAACATAGTTTAATCAACCCAGAGTTAAAAAGATTAAGCCAATGGCGCGTTCGATCAAACGGCAAAGTAAGCTGTGGATGGACTCCCGTGCTGGCGCACTACGCCGATTACCTGATTGTAACGTATTTTTTCGAATAGAGTTCAAGTGTAATGTCCGAACCATTCTCTTAGAACAAGCTAATAAATCGCGCGTATTTAGAGTAAGAAACACTGTAAAATCCTCCGCAATACGAGCAAAAATAAATAAATTTTTACGAGATAGACAAAAAAATGGCGAAAGCAATAAAGTTTCGATTATGTTATTTGTAACGCAAAGTTAAGATTATTTAACTAGTGTGGAAAGTTGGTCATGACTCTTTTCAATATCTGTTGGCTCTTAAAAGAGCCGTTTGTTTCAACCGATGAAATTGGTTTAGGCTTTAGGTTTCTTCTCGGTCTTCTTGGGCAGGAGTACTGCCTGGATGTTAGGAAGAACGCCTCCCTGTGCGATGGTGACACCGGCGAGCAGTTTGTTCAACTCTTCGTCATTACGGACAGCAAGCTGAAGGTGACGAGGAATGATTCTTGTTTTCTTGTTGTCACGAGCAGCATTGCCTGCCAACTCGAGGATCTCAGCGCTTAAATATTCAAGCACAGCAGCCAAGTACACTGGAGCACCGGCGCCAACACGCTCAGCGTAGTTGCCTTTACGGAGAAGACGGTGGATTCGACCGACAGGGAATTGAAGCCCTGCTCGGGATGAGCGACTCTTGGATTTGGTACCCTTGGCTTTGCCTTTACCGCGACCGGACATGATGAAATAGCTCAACAAGACAAACACTAAATAACAGAGTTTGATGCGGCGAAATCGTAACACCGAAATATTTATCCTTAGCTCTGCAGGTCTCAGGATCGAAAAGCACCAATCAGAAATTTGTTTACATGCGGTATTCAAAGGACTATTGTATTATTAGAAAATTACAGACCAAAGTTTTAAGTGACCTGTCAGTGTAACCAATCAGAAAGCGTAGATTTCGATCCGTACGTTAATCTATCCTTCAGTCATTTTAGTATAAATACAGGATGAGCCTAGTAAGCAGTTATAGTTCCATTCAGATCAACAGACATGGCACCAAAAGTAGCCGGAAAGAAAGGGGAGAAGAAAGCCGGAAAAGCGAAGGCGATTGCCGATGGCGGAAAGAAGAAGAGGAGAGGAAAGAGAAGGGAAAGCTATGCTATTTACATCTACAAAGTGTTGAAGCAGGTTCACCCTGATACTGGTATCTCCAGCAAAGCCATGGGCATCATGAACTCGTTCGTGAACGACATATTCGAGCGTATCGCCACCGAAGCTTCTCGCCTGGCACAATACAACAAGAAATCCACCATCAGCTCTCGCGAGATCCAGACCGCCATCAGGCTGCTTCTGCCCGGTGAGCTGGCTAAACACGCTGTCAGTGAAGGAACCAAGGCTGTGACTAAATACACAAGCAGCAAGTAAACTCACTTTGTGGGTTTCACGTCCAATTCAACGGCTCCTTTAGGAGCCACCAAATGTTACTAAAGTCTGATCAACTGAAGGGCCGAACGTGAAAAAGCAAAAGTTACCCAAAAAATTAGTATGAGATATTCAAGGACAAATAGATGTTCAATATTATGTAGTTTTATTGAATAAAACCGGTAGAATTACTTCCCATACACGATTTAAAAACTATATTTTCCCAAGTTGTGTTTTGAGCAAAAAAATACAAATCTCTTTTAACGCATCATTTTTAAAAGCGACATTGCTACAGAACTCACCAAATCATATTTTTTCTTGTTAGAATCATTTCAATCATCATTCCCTTTACCTAAAATACTTTGTAACTTACCAGTATACTATCATAATTACTACAAAATATACCGTAATATCGCTTAAAATCTGTTTCCTATACTTGAGCCATTTTGCTTTGTCACACAACGTTTTCTTGCAAGGAGAAGAACTACGTAACACGTGACTATACAAATCATTTGAGAAGCAGGTCCACAAAGTCTGCTTTTAAATGTGACGGTCTAAAAAAAACCCAGTTATGACGGTAATAAGAGTGGTTAAAAATGTTACAATTTTTTTTCTGTAAATATTAAATTCATTAAAATAGCCGTAGAAATCACATCTGATATCAAAGACATCCTTTCATTAAAAATTAGAAAATTAATGTACACATGATGGTTATCTAAAGAATTGTGGATACATGGTAAACTTAAAAACCCAAATATGGCAATATTATTACTGATCAGCAGGAAGTTCTTCATACAATTCTTCATCAATTGGATCTATAAAAAAAATGAATCAATGAATACTTCTGAAAAATTATTAAGTTAATAGATTAATTGCTTAAATAATTTGTGATAGAGCTAAATTTGAAGCAGTGTTTGTACCTTGTCCCCCTATATCATCATACACCTCTTGGTCATCTTCTGAAATGATAGCAGAGATTGAAGAAATACAAATAAGAAATATATTTTTTTAAATTTTCTAAGGTAAAATTTTGAGTTGAGTGAAGAAATAGAGAAAGATGTTATTGGTCTTATTGTGAGCCTGGGAGAAATAGAAAATTCTTGAGTTCTGGTGAGGAACAGGACCTCAGACCTTAAGACTCTGCATTCCAATGCTCTACCACTGAGCTACAAAGACTCTATGGGGAGCAAGGTTATCACTAAGTTCATTCATGACACACATCCTGTATACTGTGAGGATCAGCAATGTCCTTTGAAGAAAAGACTTCTGAAGTTACACAAAAACAGTTTTCTTTATTTGGTTTATTGTAGTAATTCTTATTGTCCCTTCCCACTGTTTCCACTCTGGCCTTGTTTTGCAGACTAGGGTTGCAGCACATCAGGATTACACACCCAGGGGTTTGGACAACTTTTTACTGTTTTACTGCAGCCACCTAAGAAAGGGAAGTTAGGCAAAACCCAAACATAATAACCCGCCCTTAGGTTAAACAGACACATGTAAGGTGTCTTGTACTAAAAACCTAGGTAATGAGAAAAGAAAAGGTCATTGATTTGCAAGAACAATAAATTAATTCCTCCTTACATAATATTTTAAGGTAGGATGTCTTGTTCATCCTTTGTATAGAGACTACTCCCAAAGATATTTTAAACAACACATACAAACTTAATTTAATTTTTACCTTCTTCTATGATCTGTCCACCTTTTTGATACTGATCTACATCTTCATAAAAATCCTCAGTTATGATAGCACTGTTAACCGAAAAAAAGTTCTTAACCTTTTCACTCCTTGAAGTGATTAAAATGTAACTTCTCACCATAATATCTATACACTATAGAGCAAACAAGTAATAAGAATTCTCAAACTTATCAAGGAAATGTGTAGCAGCCAGAGGGAGGATTTACAATCAGTGCTGAGTTGTTCAAAAGGTTAACCAACAGTTTTTTATATAATTTTGTAGCTTTGCAGACAGTTTAAATTGTTTATATTTTTTTTCTGTTCTATGCCAAGGTAAAACCCCTCAAAGTCTAAGCACTATTTATTACAATTGAAAATCAAACAAAATGAATTACTAATCCATACCTCATCCTATTTCCATCGCTGTCAATCTGAATAAAACCAATACGATTTAAATTAACTCAAAAACTCAACACTAAGAAGTTAGAATGTGACTAAAAGAAAAAGGTTAAAATGTTGTCTTTAAAATATGCTTACTTTGAGTTGAATCAGCTCTGTAGGAATGTACCCATCTATTGAAATTAGTCAAAAATAACCATTAAGTTTCTTCAAACGTTTGACAACAATACACAGAATCAAAGAATTCAAAGTCAATGATACATACAATGTCCTGCAGTATTTTGGACCAGCCATTTTCCTTGGGGGCAATTTTTTTCACTGACAACAACCAAGGGATCTCTTTCTTTTACTGGCAGTTCAAACTTTCCATCACCAGCAAAATTGCTCTTGGCCTCTCCTATCCCAGTATTTTCATTTCCTGGTTTGATCTGCAAAGGATTATATGGGGATTAGTCAAAAGTATTGATTTCTCCTCCCTCTTGATTCCAATCTTCACCCTTCCCTAAGAAGAATGTTTTCTCCCATGAGTGACCAAGACAGAATTTCTCCTTGCAATATCAATACAGTGTCATGCAGACAAGTGATTGGAGTGAAGATAAAATCAATAAGGGGATTATAAGTTGATCCAATACCAAATTATCCAAACTAACTTCACAAGAATTGTATGGCAGACAGTAAGGAGAACTACTAATGAGATCTTGAGTGTGTTGTAAGAATTACGACTAAAACAACAGTAAATGTGTAAGAATATAGTTTCTTATAATGTAAAATGTAGGAGTAGGTTTTGAGCCAACATATTTCACCCCCATGGAGTGTTCTTTTTGACTCTCACACTAATACAACCTCAATATAAACTCTCTTCTCTTTGCAACACACAATTCTTGTAATCACAGCTCTAGAGAATTGCTGTTAACCCTTTAACTCACAAAATCTGATGGTTACTTATCACCTCTAGCTGTTACACATTTCCTTGCAAATTTGTTACCAGAACTTGGTGTAAAATATGATCAAGATAGAACTTCTAAATGATGAGTTTAATTAGCGCTGGAATACATTCACTGAAAAACCTGTTTATAAGGGTATTCTCATCACCTGTTTTTTGGATTATGTATGGATACTATAGGGATGTAACAGGGAGAAGTAACATGCCAATCACCTTTGGGAGTTAAGGACTTAAATCAAACATTACTCTTTTTTCAGTATTTATCTTTCTTCTCTCTGACCTTTTGTATGAGAGAAACCTTCTTGGTCACTCCCGCAAGGAAAAGGATTAAAACTTAATAGTGATGATCTACCTGTCCCAATGGATATTTTTTCCAATCTGGGCTGGTGCAGTGTCAACAAAAAAGTGCTGAGAAAATCTGCCATGATTCAGCTTTTTCTCATACAGAATGAAAGCTGTTTTCGGCATATGAATCATTTACCAATTGAAAATATTTCATACTTTGTGTTTCCTGCAGAGCTCCTTGTCAACTCGTTCCCTTTTCTTCTTCTCTTCTTCTTTCCTTTTTTTCTCCTCTTTTTCTTCCCGTTCTCTTCTTTTTTCATCTTCTTTCTTCTTTTTAAGTTCTTCTTTTTCCTTCTTTTTCTGGTTTTCCATTTCCTTTTTAAGATCTTTCTTTGCTTTTTCTTTGCGTGGTAAACTACTGAGAATTTAACAAGAAATATCAAATAACACACCAAAAAAAAGAAACCGTAAGACAATTTTCCAGAATTTCTCATTGGACCTTGAAGAAAAGATACCTAGAAATTTGAGTTTTAATCATCTACACCCACAGAGTGACTCCTTACAACTATCACTGCTGAATCAAAAAGTAAGGTCAAAAGAATACAGGAATTATTCACCAACCAATGAAACTTGATTGTTAAACAAATTCTCCTTGTCATTACCATGGGAAATGTATAGACAAAAGTGTGGAGAATTAATAATGTTGGGGCATAAAGGGTTAAGTATTTAAAGGTACCACTGGTTCTTAATTCTCAAAATAACAAGAACTTAATTATTTTAGAACTAAATTTTCTGTATTTTCAGATAAATTGAAAAGCAGATATCTGTTTGCAAACATTATTATACAATTGACAATAAAAATACAGACTGCATACCTTGAAGGTAATGGAGGTGGAGTATTGTTATTTTCAATCTGGGTGTCATGCCCTCCATGATTCTTTCCATCCCTATTCTCTTCTTCAGCTGCCAGTACATCATACAATTCCTCTCCACCTATAAAAGACTGATGACCACCTACAAAATCTGTTGAACAAACATGAATCAAACAGTAATGATGGTTCACTGGGATCAAATATTGAAGAACACCTCACCACCAAATTCTAGAATAGTAAAGCAATTCCCTAGATCTAGAAATTTAGAGCATTTTAAAATTAGAATTGTGTTAATAGCCACAAACTCAAAAAACATGATGATCTATTGTAATGGTTTTTTCTACGCTATTAATTTTCATTTTTGTAAATACTACAATCTTAGCTTGCTAACACAGCCCTATATTACTTTGAAACAGTCTAAGCTTAGTAGGACCTTTCTCTATATGGGACTTGTAGATAATCAAAAAAATATTTAGCAAATAAATCAATCAACAAACTTGATTTTTTTACTTTCCATGAAACCAACTAATATTTTAGAAGAATTGCAAAATGCAAAATCAATGTGCTGTCAGAAACAAGACTTCAGGCAGGTGTTTGTACTGTCATTCACTGATTGCACTATTTGAGTTCTGAAATAAAGCCTGACCCACAGTCATTGGTGCTTAACTATACAAAAGAACATGGGATAAAAGTTTCCATTACAATTCATATGAGTTGTATTATCTTTAAAAAAATCACTTTACCATTTTGTATTTGAAGAGCCTGTTCCTTCACAGTATCTAAATCATCATAGTTTTCATCACAAATTGGCTCAGGATTCTGCCCTTGAGTGTTACTTCCTGTATTCTCCTCCATTCCACCAACATCATCATAGTTTTCTTCAAAAATTCCTATGGTAAAGAACAGGAAAGCCATCTACTGAGCACACAAAATAAATGTAGTTTTCATTCCCTAACCCTTTAATCCCTAAAAGTGACTAACATCTTATTTCTCCTTACAACATCAGCCCTGAATTACACATTAAGGTCATGAGAATGAAGGAAATAATCACCAACTTAAGAAGCTCTTGATTGTTCAACAAATTCTCCTTGTCAGCAGAATACGCATACTGATCTCTGGGTGTGAAGAGTTTAGCATTTTTGATTTAAAATTTTTAATATTTATTGCTATATAATCAACAACATTGTTATTACCATTTGCTTCCTGTTTGCCTTGTTCATCTTCTTGTCCTCCCAGAATCTGATTTTTAATTTCATCAACATCATCGTACATTTCTCCGTCATCATTATCTTCAACAATAGCATCACCTAAAAAACAAATTTGTGCAGAATCAGTTTTGTCAAAATTGATGACACAATTGTGTAAACATTCCTGCAACTATTACATCATTTAATCAAAATTTCTCAAATGCTTTTTTACTTACTTTATAAGCTTAATGTGATACCAATAATAAAAGAAAAATAAGAATATTGATATTAATCCATTAAATATTAACCAAGACAGAATTTCTCCTTACAATATCAATACAATATCAAGCAGACAAGAGTTGAGAATAAAGAAAAATGTCAAGTAAGGGATAATTGATTGATCCAATACTAAACACCAAGAACTAAATTCATAGGAACTGTGTTGCAGAAAGTAAGGAAAATTCCTGACTAAATGAGGTCTTGGGAGTGAAAGGGTTAAATGATTTTGCCGCAGGCTTTGTGCATGTATTGTCTAGATAAGCTGTTATAGTCATACCCATACTGGTGTTGCTGCTGCTCTGCAGTACGCTTCGTCGTGGTGCCATAATGACACTCTTGCTCTCATACTTCTCCAACAACTTTACTAAACTATCTGGTTTTGAAGGCTTAGCGGGAGCTTTCCCAAGACTTTCCATTGTAGGCAGATTGCATAGTTTTGGGTCTCCTCTGGAATCCCTACAAACAACATTTCTGTTTTTGTTAGTTAAAATTATATCTTTGTTTTCACCACTGCTATCACTGCAAGTTGAGCCTGATCGTTGTTTGGTCTGTAGATTTTCCTTGCCTGGTTTATGATTGTCTACAGATGGCTTTGGTCTAGGCTTAGGTGGCTTTTTTGGTTTCACCACCTCTGCCTCCTCTTTGTGATCAAACATTGCTCTTCTTTTAGCTATAATACTTTGAAGCTCATTCTCTGGCTCATCAGTATCAGCAGTGTGTTTGTTATCAACATCCTCTGCAATCAAGCTGTCTCGCATGCCAGTCTTTCTAAGTTTTACACCAGGGATGAGCTGGGCAATGTTAACTTCAGTATTGTTGTTTGGAATTGGGTTGTTTCTTGTGGCTGGGGGTGGCTTGTTGCTTGGAGCTCTTGGTGGTGGAGTTCTGTGAAGTGAGCCCTTCTTCTGTAGAATTTCGTTTAGTGGAACTGCCATTATGATTGTACTAATTCTGGAATATCAATCACAAAGAAAAAGACATAAATTAAATTATGATAATTTCATTATTTATACATAGCAGACCATGCCAAAAAACAAATAGCCATAGTGTTAATTATTTAATTTCAAAAAATTGAAAAGTTGCAAGATCTTATGCTCTGGTAAACCCTTTAACTCCCATGAGTGACCAATACAGAACTTCTCCTTACAATATCAATACAATATCAAGTAGACAATTGATGAGAATAAAGAAAAATATCACCTAGGGGTTTATTAGTTGAATCAATACCAAATTCTTTGAACTGATAATTTACAAATTGTATGGCAGACAGTAAGGAGAATAACTAATTAGATCTGGGGGTATAGGGCTCAAGGATTTAAGATTTAAGATAAGCACTTTTGCTGTAAACCAGCTGTGAAAGTGCTAAGAAAATATGGAAAACTAGTAGAGTATTACACTTTGATCTGTAAAAAGAAGCTAATGAGTTGTTTTGTCCGACAGAACAACTCTGAGTACAGAGCAATCTTCAGGGAATGAGAGTAAGTTTAAAAGACAACAATAGTTTTGGATGAAAAAAATTTAAAATTTTTACTGACAAATTGTATCTTATAGAATTTAAGCCTGTTGGTACAAAATCTTCATTCCCAGTTTCCCCAAGAAAGATTGTAATACATGCAGTTGTGACTGAACCCCAATCTAATTGATAGATTGGACACTGTCCACAATCCTTTTTCAAGGAAATGGCTAGAATTAGAAATGTGTTTTTGTTTTTTTTTTCTTGATTGAATACCAATCCATTAATAAGAATCTAGAAATTGAGATGGAGAGATCCACTCTGGGTACAGGCTGATTACATGTAAGTTCTTTTCTAGATTAAGTAACTTATTGGCACACAAGACCCAAGAATTAGACAAAACCAATGGTTCTGCACCCTGCTTGCACATTTTTTTTAATTTTAAATCATTTTAGCATATTGCTGCTTTGGAATCTGTGCACGTTTTATTAGAGAGAAAGCAAGTTGTTCTCTAACTTCTGGAGTAATGCACAAATCCATGGACATTTGACTGTTGTCCATGACCAAGAGGATGAATTTAAGACCTTCTTGCACGGGATGGGATATTTAAATAAGATATGTCAAATGTTAACCTTGCCTGGTCCCAAAACAAGCCTCAGTCTGTTGTGTTGTTTAGCATTGGTTTTAAAAAATAAGATTTTCACTTTGCTTCACCAGTTATTCAGCAGATCACTCCATAATATTCATCAAAAAAGCAAACCGCATTTCCATTGGGAAACAAATTGAAGGAGGATTTGAAGGCCGCACACGTGTCAATTCACATTTTCATTGCATTGTGCATATGATCAGGAGGGGTTTATATGTGTTTCAGTCTCAAAATAGTTCAAATAACTGAGGTAAATCTTATCAGTGTTCGTGACCCACAACAGTTTGCAAAGAGAGAAGACCTTTTCGCCAATTTCGTACAGAATAGTTACAAGGTAGGAATTGTCTCGTTTCAGTATGAGGACGACACGAAGTTTTAAAGCCATAAAATCATTTTGCTTCCGGGTGGAAATGAAAAAATGTGAAAATGCTGAACTAAAGCAAAGCCTGGGAAACAGCAATTAACATATGTTCGAAGGTCTGTTTGCTTAATGAGACATCGACCGTACAAGTGTTCGCCTCGGGGCTGTAAACTTAAAAACCGAAAGAAGAATTAAAGTGCGATCTTGATTTTCCGCTGGAACTTTGACTTGATTATTGTATATGACGACGAGATACTTATTTCGCCGCATGACCTGCGATGATCATGACTGCTGTATTGATCGTTGTATATCAGTTGCTCATATGTTCATATCAAAACAATAATATTGAGATACTCGAAACTAAAACGCAGTATTGAGAAATATTGTATAAATATCACGTCCTAATGTATTTACTGGTTTCTTCTTAAATTTCTTGCATTAATTTACCGTAGTAGAACCTTCGATGAAACCCGTGCTGTTGAAACCCGTTCTGCGACGCCGCCTGATCAATCGACATAGACGGAACAAGAACGTCTCACAAATTTTTACCTCATTTTTCTACCTTTCACCTCAAAATAACTAAATGTAACTCATAAACATACCCTGATCATTCACATAAGGTTACTTGGGTGAAGTTTTCCGTCATTTTAACTCTGTTTTGCTTGCAAATACCATCATACTAGCCTTCGTCGACCACAAAGAATCTAAGTGCTAAAGCGTCGTGAGGAATACTTCCGCTACAGTTTACGTAACAGAATAAGGATTTTGATTGGTCAATTTTGATGTTTAGTCAACTAATTAATTTGATTGGATATTGGCCTTGGTATTGTAACGACAAATATTAAACACTTCACCACTTGGGGATGGAAGGGGTGGTATTTTTCTTCCAAAGCGGGAGGGCGGGATGGGGAAGGAGAGTACTTGGGGGAGGGGAGAAAAGAAGGGGTAGAGAACCGGTGTGAGGGGAAGAGAACTTAAGAGGAAGAGAATTTGGCAGCGAAAAGGGGCTGAGTGGGAAGAACTACGCGACTAATTATCTCTTTCAGTTTTTCAAACTTGTAAAATCATTTGTAGCTGTTTTTAAACAGATCAAAGATACTTAAGAATTTAAACACCAGCTAGGAATGCACCCACTAGAATCGTTGGTCAGTTGACTATCAATACTGAAAATTGGAACTCATAAGAAAAATTATGGAATACAACCCATGAGAAAAGGATTATTTCCATAAACTTTATTTGGGACACCCCATAAAACAAGCTCCCTGGAAAATAAATATCTGCCATTTTTGAAGGCACAAGAAGGCGTTAGGACTAACTGTCCTGATTTAGAGAGCTATTTCTTTTTCTTTTTTTTTTACAGTAAGTCCAGTCTTCGCTGCGAAGTCGAAAAAACCCAGGTAGTTTTTTGCAGTTCAAAATGTACGTAACTCGAAAAAATTATCAGCAACAAGTTGTTCCTATTCGAAATCTCATGGTTAGTAAGTTTCTTGTATGGCTTTGATGTGTCGCGTGACTGAGCTCTCTTAGCGTGACCATCAATTTCTTGCTATCTCGTCAAGGTCACGATAGCACTGTGCTGTGGTATTTGCTATTGTGTTCTTGTTCTCCGACTCGTTTGAAAGACATCACAATCCTGCCGGTTCCATGTCGCTGAGTTCGACTATTTTTTGCTTATCTGTTCTCAAGGAGTTCGAGATTGGTCCTTTTTGCGCGCGATAAGTAGATTCACACATTGGTTGTGTTTCAGGAACATCACAGCTTTCTCGTGAGTCACACGTCTTAGGTTGATTCCATTCACCTGAAAAATGAACAACTATGGTAAAAGATTCTTTAGAAAAGGATCTGAAGAGGAAATAAAAATAAAATGAAAACAAGAAAGGAAACCAAAACAGTTTAATAATCCTCCAAGATTAATGATGACGCAACCTAGTTCCCAGGGTTCTCTCTCTTCCTCCTTCGAGAAGAACCCTGGTTTACTGGTCACTTGGTCACTTGTCTCCCAGAATTTTGGAGATTTCAAGAAAAAAAAATGAGGAAGGGGCAACTGTAAAATTTTTGTCCATACTCAGTGGATAGGGTAAGATAGACCGATGACCGATGACAAAATTAAGTCGAGGACCCACCCTCCATACGGCGTTCTTTGGTCTGCATAAGCATGTGACCAGCCTCATCCACGGTCCTTTCTCGAAGGTTGAATGATGACAAAGAAAAAGCTTACGCGTAATTAATGAAAGTTCCTGCTATGACATGGAAAGAAAGTGTAAAACACGTATGTACGTGTGGAGAAGGTATCAAAGGATTTGCAACACAAAATGTGACTAGTCCCGCTTCACCTCCACCGAAAAAAAAAAAGGCATCAAACACAAGTGCTTTGGTCACCTCTAAAATTCTGTCTCCGGGTACAAGTCCAAATGCTGCCGGCCCATCTGGCTGTACTTTAGTCACATATATACTCTGTGTCGTGAAAGAATTTAAGGTTAACATACAAATGCCCTCCGGAGCTCTATTCTAAACCAGACGCTCAACGTTTCCATTTTTCCCAATACTTATGTGCGAAAACCTTAGTTTACAGAGGAATAAAAAGGAGAACTAGCACACTAACAATATTAAAACGTAGGGATAGCCAATTTATATCTTGAGGAACCGAGACTGCATTGTCTTTTAGTATCAAACTGATACAAACACGAATCATTCAGAGTACTACACAATAAAATCTTCCAAAAATAGTTCAACACAACTCAATAGGATCTCTTGGCAGTTATGGTAAGATATGAATCTTGAACAGATGTGAAATCTACTTTTGCATTCAAAAAGTGGGGTATTGGTTGGTTACTAGGAAAAAATGCAAGACAAAACTAACGAAAAAGATAGAAAGTGTAAGCCGTATGTTTGAATGGAAAAATATTCTACCCTTCTCCCCCGCTATCCTTCTTTCCATATACTCTCTTGTCTAATTAATTCTACCAAAATGATCTCTGCAACATTAAAAGCAAGTTCCCGTTCCAGGCTCTTTTGAGTCAGTGGAGACGAACGAAACAGCAGAAGAAGAGGCGTGGCGGCACACTCCCTTTATCCTTTGCCCGCCCGCTTTTTTGCTTGTCTCCGCTGACCAAAACGATGGCAGGCAAATTTCTACAAACCTTGTGGTCATTCGGGTGAAAGGGATTTGAAGTGGTACCGACACCACCTGCGATGCTAAATCCAAGATTAGGATTCTTGTAAACTTCCACCTGAATCTGTGTAACCAAAAAACAGTTCGAGTTAAGTTTCAACAACAACAACAAAAATAGACAGTCGAAGACTGCATATGGTTACTAGTATAGCTTAATTTTTATACCATTGAAAAGGACTAAAAGTAGTATATTGACGTTAGTGCCGCACAATATTTCTCACCTGCAAAACAGAAAAAAACCTGCCGCATCCCACATATTACCTTGTTCCAAAAGGGGAAGATTTCTTAAGAATATATTGTCTAATTGACATTCAACAAATAATTAAATGGTAACAAATAATAACAATAACAATAATAAAATTGATAACAAGGGTAATAATTTAAAGGGGCTGGCTCGAAGGCCTCATGATTCCCCTATCCTCTCGGCTCCAACAATGATTACTACTGCTTCTTTTAATTTCACGTGTTAATTATAAATACTTTTTGTCATTTTATTGCAATTCCATTTTTTGAGACTTTTGTTTCATACAAAAAGGCATTCCGAGTTTTAGGATATTCCGTCATTAAAGGGTTGAGTGTGTCTCGTGCAAGGAAAACGTATGTGTGTCTCTAGCGCTCCAGAGAGGGGTGGGGGAGGGGAGGGGGCAGAGAGAGAGAGAGAGAGAGAGAGAGAGAGTTCCACGATTAGAGCAAATGCCTCCTAATGTGGCTTGTGCTTGTGCTCCGACCAACGGACATCGTAGATCCTCCCGTTCCCCCCCCCCCCCCCTCCAAAAAAAAAATTCCTCAACCCTCAGTTATTGCTTGTGCTTCACTCAACTCATTATAGCGACATATAAATCGTTCTCACCAGTTCAATGGTTGGGTCATTATCCACAGGTTCACTATCTTCCTCCTCTTGTGCAGAAGAAACAGAGTGGACGGAATTACGAGACTCTGATGAGTTGCTCCGGTTAAGAACGCGTATTGAAGACGCGTCGTTGTGAGGCCTCCGATTGTCTGCGACATTCGTCTGAGTTCCATCGACCATTACTTCGCCACGCTCCATGGCTCTTTCACGTTGAAGCTGTCGAACTCTGTTCTCGAATCTCGCTGCGTCTTCCTGCGAAATGTTGAATGTGTGTGAACCATTCACTTCCGGTCTGCCGGGAGCGACTGGTTGCCTACTAGCATTTAAAGGAACTGCCGGTTCCGGTAAAATATGCTTGACAGGGAGTTGAGCGAAGGCTTCCGGTTGTACAGTGTACTGAGGAGGTGGTGATCTATTGTTGCCGTTTAAACCATTTATTACAACCGAATTAGGCACAGTTCGCGATGTAGATAAGACGTGTCGAACAGTACTTTCAAAAGGTGCTCTATCAGTTTGGTTAGTAGCCTCGTAATACGAAGGAGGCCTAAGGGGACTTTGTACGAAGCTGGGCTCCTCCTCGTTGAAAGAATGCATTTCACCTGTTTGGGAGCCCCCTGACTCTCGGCCCCCACCAGATGAGGTACTCCACAGCCGAGCCCCCGGACGTCCCTGATAAGATGACACACTGGGCATTTCTTCACGGAATGAGTGCTGTGATTCCACTGATCCTTCAGACCCCCCTGTCCGAGAATGCGGATGAGAGGTTCTGTTTTCTCGTGGGGTGTAGGGTGGGGGAGGCTGATATACGGGCGGAATGCGGGCAGCTGCGACCTCTTGTCCCGATGATTGCCCCTAAAAAAAACAATAAGATATAATACTTCATGAAGATACGCGTTTGGGAATGAGAAAAATCATGTTTCTCCTGGAAACATCAGGACCAAGGCAACAGTGATTCCAACTGAAAGTTTGAGTTACCCCAATAAGCCGTTCTCCAGGTATACTTCTCACTATGGCCTGATTTACTTTAACAAGCTGTGGTTCCCTGTTTTGGTCGCCCTGGCCGTTCCCTGTATTACTCCGCTGAGTGATACCATTTGATATCAACCTTTGACTGCTGCTCAGTGGGTGGACAACTGCGGCTGGTTGACCTCGTCTCTGCTCTGAAGTTTGAGTGGGGACTGGAGGCTAGAAAACAAATAAATAACACGGCAATGATGAGAAGAACGACAGCGATAATCATATTGATGGTAATCCAGGTGTGCAAGACTTACGATTCTTTGATTTCATTAGAATAATGTAAACTAAACTATCCGAGTATTATTCTATTGCAATACAAAGCAATTTAATAGGAAAATTAACGGTGTGATCCAAAGCCACCTGGCATTAAAAAGACATGAATGAAAGAGCTTGTATTTGGGTAACCTAACAATTACTTATTCTGAGGAACTAAAGGCAACATTTTAAGCACGGTTCATTAGGGTGAACTTGTTTGAAAATAAGAAAAAAAAAAAGAAAGAGAGAAACCTGGCCTACACATAAATACAGATGGATAAAATTATATAAGATTAACCCTTTGACTTTGGACAATTTTGTTGGTGATGTACTGTTTCTCCTTGAGAACCGAGAGAGCACATAGGAACCAACCTGATCCTCGTACCAGGGCACCTCAACTGTACGCACCTCTTGGGGTCTTGTCAGCTGTGGCA